TAATTGATGGGTGACAATTTGTTCTCCAAAAACAAGAACTTATTTGAGAACTACTGTGTTATCATCTCATGTTCAACAGACAGTCACATAGCCGAGGTGTAAAGTTTGAATATGTGCAAAGGAAAATAAAATTATTTTGATAACATAAATATTGGCTTGTTCATAACATAAAGCTGTTGTATAACTTCAAAAGACTTCATACAAATTACTTTAAAGGTGTTTTTTTTCCCATCTTTTTCAGAGGTCAATAGCTTCAGTCCCCATTCACTTATATTGCACAGAAAAAAAAAACAGCTTGGTCATTCTGCTAAACATCTCCTGTTGTGTACCACACATAAAAGTCAGAGTTTGGAACAACATGAGGGTGAGTAAATCAGTTTCCAGTGAACCTTTCTTTTAAATGTAATTACAAATGAGCAATGAACAAGTAGTACACATTTCTTTCCCTGTCTGCCTCATTTTCCCTCTCCATCAAAAGACTTCATACAAATTACTTTAAAGGTGTTTTTTCCCCCATCTTTTTCAGAGGTCAATAGCTTCAGTCCCCATTCACTTATATTGCACAGAAAAAAAAACAGCTTGGTCATTCTGCTAAACATCTCCTGTTGTGTACCACACATAAAAGTCAGAGTTTGGAACAACATGAGGGTGAGTAAATCAGTTTCCAGTGAACCTTTCTTTTAAATGTAATTACAAATGAGCAATGAACAAGTAGTACACATTTCTTTCCCTGTCTGCCTCATTTTCCCTCTCCACACTCCAGTCCGCTGGAGTAGTGAGCTATTCTTCTTTGCACTGGTCTGAGAGGTGAAAGTTTGAGAGTGTGTAAATCATGAAATGTGCTGTGTGTATGAGGTTTCAGGCTGTGGGCCTTTTGAGGGGACGACTTTTAAATTGTGTTTAGATCAGAGTCAGACCTTGTGAGATGTAGGCAGCACATGTGTCACACTTCCACTTATCCTCCTGTCTCTCTTTCTCCTCTCCTGTTTTCTGTCCTGTCTCCCTCGATCTAAAGGCACAGTGGCCTATATATATTCTCACTCTATGCTGTTAAGATTGTTGCTTTTTAGAGCTGGATTGCTTTGATTTTAGATTTCATATTCTTAAACATCTTTTTTTTTTAGTGATTAACTGATGCTTTGGTTGACATTTTAGTATCCATTGCAATGACAGTCTTGCATTTTTTCATGTGACTTGCATTTTGGGGCCACTGTACATTACCTTTTCAATGTTTTGGGTCATTCTGACTAAATGTTTTTAGAGTAGTCTTATATGCTGACCAAAACTGTAGTAAAAACAGCAATATTGTGAAATATTATTACAATTTAAAAGAACTGTTTTATATTTTAATATATGTGACCCTGGACCACAAAACCAGCCTTAAGTCACTGGGGTATATTTGTAGCAATAGCCAATATCAATGGAAAGCTTATTTATTGATGTATAAATCTCAATTTTGAAAAATTTACACTTAAGACACATATTTAAAAATTGTATTGCAATGGCAAAAGAGAATTTTCAGCAGTCATTGCTCCAGTCTTCAGTGTCACATGATCATTCAGAAATCATTCTGATATGATAATTTGGTGTTCAAGAAACACTTATTTTCAGTGCCGAAAACAGTCGGGCTGCTTAATATTTTTGTTGAAGCCATTTTTTAGGATCCTTTGATGAATAGAAGAACAGCGTTTATTTTAAATAGAAATCTCTTGTAACACAATAAATGTCTTTACTGTCACTTTTGATTAATTTAACTCATCCTTGCCAAATAAAAGTATTCAAAAAAAATAATAATATATAAAATAAATAAAAAAAGATCTTACTAACCCCGAAGTTTAAAATTGTCCTTGTGTGTGAACTACAACAAAAGGTTGTGCAACACACTAAAATGGCATTTTGGCATTTTCTAACATTTATATAAATATTCAGATGAACAAGATTGGAATCATTACAGCTGTGTTTCTCTCAGAAAAATGGCATCACTCTGAACTACGGCCCCCCAAAAAGCATTTGAGCCCCAGAGAGGTGACACTTTAAAGCCCTTAGGCAAGGCCTCTGGACCGATTTGGTGAGCAGAGAAATGTGAATTAGAAATTAAGGCTTTTCGAACACTGAACACAGACACTTCTGACTTATATAAGAGGCGTATTGTCCATGATAGAGGTCCTTTATGAATTAGTTTGTGTGTGTGTGTTAATGTGCAGGTCTCAGGTGTTTATCCTCTAGTGTTAAAACGCAGCTGTTTGAGAGACTTTTCCAGCGTTCGCACAATGCTAAGCCATCCATTAAAATGCTAAGCCATCCAGTAGGATAACTCTTGGCCACTTGAAAAGAAAGTTCTTTATGTTTGACAAGCATTACATTTGTGTATATGCGCATTGTGAGAATTGAATGCTTTTGTATTAATGTGAATTTTCTGTATGCGAGTACTGTGGATACTGTGGTATTTATGAAGGTCACAAGCTTTTCACTTCTGTGGGGTTTGATATACAAAAAAGCAAACAAACTCTGAGACATGCCAGTTAACACCAGTTAATGTTCATCATTGTAGTTTAAAAGAGAAGCAAGATTCAATAGCATTTGATGTCCTTACAGAGATGCTGCCGTTTTCCATTAGTCAGAATAATCAGATACCTTCGTAATCGTAATCATTTTAACGAATAGAATAAAAAGGACATACTATTTGGCTAGTCATTGGTCTGAGTGACCATCCAGTGACCATTCACCAAGATGTTTTCTTCAGATTTGTACACTACCATTCAAAAGTTTGAGGTCAATTAGTACTTTCAGTCAGCAAGGACATAATAAATACATAAACTTGACTGTAAAGACTTTTACATTATAAAAATTTTTATTTTAAATAAATGCTGTTCTTTGAACGTTCTATTAAAGGATCTTGGGGAAAAAATGATCAGAGTTTACACAAAACTATTAAGCAGCACAAATGTTGTTCAACTGTTTATTGTTTTTGATAATAATAAGTGTTCCTTGAGCATCAAATTAGCATATTTCTGACGGCTCATGTGACACTGAAGACTGAAGTAATGACTGCTCCAGCATTGCCCTCACAGGAATAAATTATTTTAAAATATCAAAACAGAAAACAGTTATTTCAAATGGCAATCTTTCACATTATTACTGTTTTATTCCAAATAAGTGCAGCCTTCTTCTGACTTCCAGACTTCTTTCAACATTATAAAATCTTACGGACCCCAAACTTTTGAAAAGTCATGTACATCTTTGTTTTCAATCACACTTATAACATCAGGATTCAGATTATATTTCTATCGACTTGAACCATGTTGCAGTTCCTAGAAAAAGTTTACAAACAATGCTTTTCTTTTCAAGCCAAACACTCTTTTTCTTGTTAGAGAGTGGTTATTTTGGACCCTGTCGAAATAATCAGATCTCTACTACCACCACCTGCCCAAAACAAGGTAGTACTACATAAGGACCAACTAAAGTGCCCTGATGTTAGTTTGTAGCACCAGCAAATAAATCACCATACGACACACGAGAGAGAAAGGAGCAACAGATTTTAGAATTGGTAAATTGATTATTCCTTTTTTAATTGAAGATTGACCATTTTCTTTATTTTATAGAAAACGGAGAAAAAAAAGAAATTGCCTTTTACAAACATTTACAAATAAATGACAAGTGGATGTACAAATAAGAACTGAAAGGAGAAAGACAAAAAGAAAGGAGGCAGGGAGAGTTGGATCACCACTTATAGCAACTTTTAGTTGTCCAGTTTCAAGATGACTGCCATGCACACTTTGTGCTTGATCAAAATTATCCCAAAATGTGTTAACTCATCCTTTTCTCTTTCTTACCAACAGCAAAAAAAAAAAAAAGTTTACAAACATAATTCATTAATGTATTTATCAAATTAATTCTTTAAAAAAAAAATCAACATTATTTTTGCCCATTTTAATTAGTGTCCATGTCTGCGTTTAAGATAGTGCTGTCAGTAAAGCTAAGGCAGACTGTTAGCACATGTACAGGCCAGGAAGGGGTCAGGGGTGAAACATCAGGAAGTCAAAGGTGAAGTGCTATTTCAAGCGCAGCAATTCGAGCTGATCCTGGTACTCAGTGAAGAGTCTCTGGAACCGCAAGTTTTGACCAATCACAGGCATCACCTCTGTCAACAGATCCCTCTTTCTCAGTCCCTGAAATGGACACAGAAGACAGTGCAGTCTTTGAAAACGATTCTGAATGACGCTTTGGTTTTATCAGTAAATACAAAAACTATACCAATAACAAATCTGTAATTAAGTTCCAGAAAAATTCATACCAGGACTGTCGGCTCCCAGGAGCTGCTACTGGATTTGTGAACTGGTCCCAGTAAATCCTGACATAGTTCCCTTAACCTCTGCTCATAACCTTCACAGATACACACAGAGTTATTGTAAATCTGTTCCGATTACGAAACAAACGCATCTTTATCTAAGATGGCCTGAGGGTGAATACATTTTCAGCAAATTTATAGTTTTCGG